ACGGGGGTGGGCCCAGGGGTCAGGGGTCTAGGAGCCTTCCGGGCCCTGCGGCAGGCGGCTTCTTCCTCCTCCGCCTCCAGCAAGCACTTCATGAAGCCGGGCCGGATTTCCCAGGGCCCTCGGCCTCCTGTGCGTGGCCTGGCTCCCTCCTGTCACCGATGTCCCTCACCTCCTGGGGACAGGAGAGGGATCTGGAGGCCTCAGTCTGGCCAGGCTGTCCCATGAAGGTCCTCCCTGGGGTCCTCGCTCCCTGGGCCTCCACAGGATGTCCCCCCATGCCCTTGGCTCCCACCGCCCAGCAGGAGCTGCAGGGCCCAGGTCCACCCCCAGGGGTCACTACCTTCAGCCTGCAAAGATTCTGCCCCCGACCACGCGGTGAGCCAATGGCTATCTGTGTGGACCCCACTCCAGGGGCCCTTCGGCCACTACCCTCCTCCCAGGATGCTCTGGTCCCTGCCCGCAGGCTCGCCCTCTTTTCTCATCCACTTCTTAACTCAGATGTCACTTCCCTGAGCACTGAGTGGCCCTCAGAGTAATCCACTGCTGCTCTAAGTCTCTTTTCCCCTATCTGTTTATTATTTATACCGAAACTATTTGTTACAGGTAAATGGTCTCTCTCTCCCCCAACTGAGTCCTAAACTTCTTTGACCAGTAAGCTCCCAGGGTCACAGCTCAATAAATGGTGTTATCCTCAGAGTATCTGTGTTCCCTAAAGACTATTTCACTTTTTTCAGTGACATCTTAAGCTGGGGATGGTGGTGGTACACTCCTGGAATCCCAGCTACTTGGGAGGCCGAGGCAAGATGATCCCGTTTGCCTAGGCAATTAAGTGACTGATTGAGAACCTTTTCAAAAATTTTAAACGGCCTGGGAATGCAGCTTAGTGTGAAGGCCCGGGGTTCAGTCCCTACTACCACACACACACACACACACACACACACACACACACACTGGTGTCTGAAGAGAAAGATAAAGTGTGAAAAAAACACTGAGCAGCAAGGAAGCCATGAGCTGACAGTAGGGCTGAGAATATGGGTCACTCAGTGTCCCACAGCCCAGAAGGGAGACCCAACTTTCCCTCTGATGAAGACTCCTTGATTGCTTTCCTGAGTTAAAGAGAAATGCCAGTCTCACCTAGTGGTGTAGGCCAGTAATCCCAGCACTTTGGGAAGCTGGAGCAAGAGGATGTCAAGTCCAAGCCCAGCCTGGGCAACTTAGTGGTTTAGTAAGACTCCTGTCCCAAAATTTTAAAAATAGGGCCAAGGATTTAGCTCAGTGACACCGCACCTGCCTTGCAAACACAAGGTCCTGAGTTCAATCCCCGGTACCAAAGATAATAATAATAATAGTAATTTTAAAAAAGGGCTGGAACGTATCTCAGTGTGAAGGCTCTGAGTTCAATCTCCAATACTGTAACAAACAAGCAAGCCAAAAACAGCCGAGTGTGGAGGCCCACACCTGTAATCCCAGCACTCTAGGCTAAAGCAGGAGTATTGAAAGTCCAAGGCCAACCTGAGCAATTTATGAGACTCTCTCAAAAAAATAAAAAGGGCTGCCGGGTGTGGTGGCGCATGCCTGTAATCCCAGCACTCAAGAGGCTGAGGCAGGAGGATCACTGTGAGTTCGAGACCAGCCTGGGCTACATAGTGAGTTTC